CATCAAAGGAGGAGGAAAATGAATTATAAGCATATACATATGTGTGTGTGTGTGTGTGTGTGTGTGTATGTAAAAATATTTATAGTGATGCTGTTGTAGCTCGGAATTGGAAACTAAGAGAGTGTTCATCACTTATTTTGGAATACTTTTGTGTGATAAAAAATGACAAAGGATGAATTTGGAGAGTTGATTCAGAGTGAACAGAAAAAAGAAGAATTTATGTAAAGAAAAACAACTTTGAAAAATGAGCATTGTGATCAGATTTTCCGGCTCTTCTCATCCATAAAGAGAGACAAGTGGGGCACCTTTGAAATTAACAAATTGAATTTATCATTCTTTTAAAAAGTATAAGCTATATGTAATAGAGATTCATAGTTCATGTACGATCCCCACCCCCTTTTTTTGTGTGTGTTGGAAGTGCTCATTCTTGTCTGTCAAGTTCATAATACCAAAAACATTTTTTATTATTCCAGTGACTCCGTGTTGCCTGGAGGGTCAAATCTAAAGCCCTCTCTTTGGCATTTCAGATACTTTCTAATCTGGTTTCAACCTACCTTTCTAATTTTTTCACACAACTCTCATGCATTCTCTAATCCAGTCACACTGGCCTTCCTATCATGCCTCGTGCATGTCAAGGCATTTCCCATCCCCGTGCCTTTGCATTGACTGTAACTAATGCTCAGAATGCTCATCTTTGCCTAATAGAATCCCTAGTAGAAGCAATAATAACAAGAACCAGCACTTACATAGCACTTTAAAGTTTGCAGAGTGTTTTACGTAATGTTATCTCATCTCATCCCTTTCTTCCCTTTTCTCCTCAACAACCCTGTGAGGTTGGTGATATTATAATTATCCCTATTTTACAGATGAGGAAACTGAAACCAAAAGGTTGTCATTTTCTCAGGGTTACAAAGCTGGTAAGTGTCTGGGGTAGGATTTGAACTCAGGTCTTTATGACTCCATTCTAGTGTCTGATCTAACTGTTATCATGTAGCTAACTGCCTAGTCAGCATCAAGATTGATTTAAAGTATCATTTTGTATTAGAGTCCTTTTCTGATTCCCTCTAGTACCACTAGTACCCTCCTCAAATCACCTTGTTTCTATTTTGTCTTTGTTTCTTTTTTGTTTCTATTTTGTTCTATTTCATATATTTATATGCCTTTATTTATATGTTTGGCCGCAATTGAATGGAAGCTACTTGAGGGCAGGGACTGTTTTATTTTTGTCTTTGTATCCCCAGCATCTAGTACAGTAACTGGCACTTACTCGGCACTTAATAAATGTTTGTTAATGTATGTTTGCTCTTCCCAGACCTTCCATTTAACTAGTATTTTTTGGGCATGTGCAATGTATTGAACTAGGTGATGAGTGGTACATAAAGTTGAATAAAACTCAATTGGTATTCGACCAATCGAGTCTTCTCTGTGCCAGGCACTCTGCCAGGGGCTGGGGACATATATACCAAGAATGAAACAAGCCCTTCTTGCAAGGAACTTCCGTCTTAATGGGGAACACAATAAGTGCATAATAAGATATACAGAATAAATGTAATGAGAATACAAAGTAGGAAAATACAGTGGTTTGGGAAGGGGGTCACTAGAATTGGGGGTCATCAGGGAGAGCTTTAAAAGAATCTCAAAGAATGTCAGGATTCTGTGAGGCACTCTGGTCAGGAGCAGGTTTAGTCTAAGCATGAGAGATAGCCAATTCTTGAGGGCTTGGAGATGGGAAACTGGTGAAGAATAACATGTCAGCAAACATTCATTAACCATCTGCTCTGTGCTAGGTACTCTACCATGTGATGGGGATGCAAAAGAGGGACAAAAAACACCCTGATCTCAAGTTGCTCACAATCTCATGGGGAAGACTATATATAAACAAGATAGATGGAGCAGCTCAGAAGACTAATGGGACTTAAGCTGATTAGAGTTGTTAAGTCTCTGAAGTTGCTTGTCTTTGGTGTTTACTTATTACTTAAAGTGTACTCCTGGTTCTGCTCGCTTCAGTCTGCATCAGTTCATAAAGCTTTTTCCAGGTTTCTCTGAAACCGTCCCTCTCATCTTTTCTTACAGCATTATAGTATTACACTTTTACACATATGCCTTAATTTGTTCAGCTATTCTCACTTGATGGGTACTCCCTTAGGTCCTGGTTCTTGGCTAGTACAAAAAAATAAGCTGTTATAAATATTTTTGGTACATATAATAATTTTCCTTTCTTTGTTCTCTTTGGTCTAACAGTGGTATCTCTGGGTCAAAGGGTATCTACAGTTCAGTAACTTTTGTTTTTGTTCATAGCTCCATCAAAAGTGCATTAATGTGTCTGTCTTTGTGTAGCCCCTCTAACTTGTCAGTTTCCTTTCTTGTCGTCTTTCCTAATCTGATGGGTGAAGGCAAGAACATCAGAATTGCTTTAATATGAATTTCTCTACTTATTAGTGATTTGGAGCATTTTTTCATATGACTCTTCATAGCTTTGCTATCTTCTTCAGAGAACTGCCTGTTCACATCCTTTGTCCATTTATCAATTAGGATGGTCTAAGAGTCAATTTTAACTTATCCTTCTCTCCAAGCAACCCCTCTCTCCAGCAGTTGTTGAGATTCAACAATTTCCTAAATATATGTTTAATAATTTGAAATCCTTGTTACAACTGCCTTCTCTTTTCTTTTTCCGTTTGCTACCCCAATAGTTCAGGCTATCATTACCCGTCTTCTGGACAATTAGAGTAGCTTTCTAACCCATCTCCCCACCTCCATGTCTTCTCTCACTTTCTTCTCTTACTGCCAGATTTAATCTTTTTAAAGTCTTGTTTTGATTCTGTCCCCTGACTATTCAGCTTTCCTTAGGGAAGGGAATTAACATTGCCGTCATATGAAGTCCCAAGTAACTTCTTGACCACTCTGTGGAATTGGCTTGTGATATAGAGAATAGAGTGGATGATGAAACTTTCTACCTGATTTTTTTTAATAAAAGTTGGAAGATAATTTAGAGGGCTTCTATGTCAACCTCCTCATGTTATGGGTAAGGATACTGAGACCCAGACTACCACAGATAGTAAGAGACAAAACTGGGATTTGAACCCAACTTTTCTAATTCTAAACACTCTTTGCACTGTGCCACTATGACTTAAAAGGAATAGCTGTGACTAGTTGGGCATGCAAGATTTACATGCTCATAGGCCAACTGAGGTTGGCACATTGATGGCATTTTTTTTGTCAGGTTTGCTATTCTGACCCTTAATTTTTTTATTTTTGGTAATTGAACAATTGTTGCCTTATTCTTGGCTGCTAGGTGGTATAGTGGATAGAGTGCCAGGCCTGGAGTCAGGAAGAGCTGGCCTTGGATACTTACTATCTGTGTGACTAAGTCACTTAGCTCTGCTTCAGTTTCCTCATCTGTAGAGCTGGAGAAGGAAATAGCAAACCACTCTAGTATCTCTGCCAAGAAAATCCCAAATGGGGTCATGGAGAGTTGGACATGAATGAAACAACTGAATAACAACAAGTCTTATTCGTTGGGACCCCTTAACTGATTACTGAGTTGATCTTGTTTTCACTTTTGGACGTTGCCTTCTGGCTCTAATCATTAGCTTCTTCTCTACTTTTGCTTGGTTCTTGATATTACATTATGCTCACTTGATTCTCTTTTTTTTCCTTGATAGTTTTTCTTTGTCATATGGAAGAGTTCAGTCTGGATAGGAAGAGATGGATGGATAGTGGCTGTGATGTAAAAATATATCATCAATAAAATGTATTTAAAGAAATAAAAATAAGTAATAGTATGCTAAAAAATAAGCCTTCAGTTTCAAATATCTTCATGACTATGTGGGAGGGAAGGAATTTAATTATATAGCAAGTTTTTCTGTTATGTTCACAAATAAGTTTTTTCATAGTACCAGATGAACACTTAAAAAACTGTTTACCAGGATGTTTCTCCTGTCGGATTGAAGGGAAAGACTTGAACCAGAGCAAGGAAAAAAGTAGCTGGGCCTTTTATCTTCAGTAATTTTGAAAGTCTTCCCCAAAGTTTTTCTTGTTTTCAACCTAGCCAACCTCAAACTTATTATTCTAAGAATCATCTGAAGTTTTAAACTGAACTCCAGCATCTTTAAACTCTTAAAAGTCAAACCAGTTGGGTTACTGGGAAAAAAAAAATAAAACAAAACCTCAGTTCATTTTTTGTAAATTTAAATAGAAATTGCCTGCAGCAACTATTCCAGCAAATGATTTCTGGAATAGATTCAAGGAGGTTGGGAAGATGAAGTGGAAGCATTTGTTTTCTTTTTCCATAGAAATTGTCAAAATAGGGCAATATGTTATGATAATTTTGTAGTGAGAGTGGAGATAATTTGCTTGTTTACTTAGGTATTCTGGTTATTTATTATTTCCACTGAAAATGATCTCATTTAGAAATTCTCTTAGTAGTTCCTCTCTCTTGTGCTTGAAAAATTGCCAAGAAATATGCATTTATCTTGCTAGAAGTGTTACTTATGATAAATTCAGGAGACAGAATTAACTGTGTCACAGATTTTCTTAGAATAAATGGTAGAGTCGTATAGTTAATGCCCTAGAATTATCATAGTGCTTATTTTTGTTTGAATATTATTTTTCTCTGCATACAGCTACATTTAATTTTATGTGTATTTTGTTATAAACTGAATAACTATCAGGCATAAAGATCAATTTTACAAAATAAGGGTGAAAATCTTATATGATGGAGTATGGTAGAGTCTCACAAATTAACAAAAAAGGGAGAAAAATCCTTTTATCTTTGTCCTCTTCCCAGTGCATTTGCAGTTGTTCTTTTAACTTTGTTTTCTGTTTTTGTTTTTGGGGTTTTTTTTTTGGCATGTAAGTTTAAAAATTGATTCCAATGTATAGTAGTACTTGTATAATTCTACATAGTATACTATATTTATGATGGAGGAAAGAGAGCTGTCACTTCAGCGTTCATAGTTAATGCCTAATAATTTCCTACTGTTTATATTTTCTTTTTGTAGGAATTTGTTTGCTAGAAAGCAAAATGCACGACTTGACCCACATGGTGATTTGGGATGGAAGGTATTTGGGAAAGTACCACTTCGAGAGAATTCTCAGAAGGATTCCAAGAAAACACAAAAGGTATGTCTGCTAGACTGAAACACAAAACTGCCTATGATTTTGTACACAGTACATTTATAAAGCTTGAACAAGTAATACAGCATTGTGTAAAAAATTGCATGCTAAGTTCTTTAAAAAGTTAAATACCTCTTTAGGGTATGGGTGGCCTCATTTTAACTTCTTTTCCATTCCTCATTATGGAGACTTTCCGTCATGAACTCCCTCTAGATACAAGCTCCTCCGTTTGTCATTGAAAGCCGTTTACAATTTAACTATCTTGCTAGACTGATTTCACGCTGCTACCCCCCAGGTCCTCTGTTCAGTCAGACTGGTCTGTTTGCTATACGCAGGCCATGACATTCCATCTTCTGCCTTTATGGCAGGGATGCTCTTCTTTCTTCCCCTGCTTCATGGAGTCTCTGTCTCTATTGAAAGCTCATCTCAGGTGTCTTGATTCCCCCAGTTTATGCTAAATTGCTTTGAAATGCTTTTGACTTACTTGAGGTCATGTTGTGCTCTCCTGCTTCCCACCTTTAATGTAAGCTTTTTGAGGGCAGGGACTTTTTTGTGTTTGTACTTGCAGTGCCTAGCCCAGTGCCTGGCACATAGAAGGTGTTTAACACTTGATGGACCAGAACTTATGAATACCTCAAACAACGTAGCTACATTAATTGACACTACATTTCTTTTATCCATTAAGCCAAGAAAATAGAGTAGGATTAAAATTTTATTTCAGAGTAAAATTGTAATATCTTTGTGTCGATTGACAGACTTGGCCTTTCTGGTGTTAATGAGTGTTTGTTAAATTGTGCTGAATTTCATTACATTGATAAAATATAATTTATTGGCCTTTCATCAGCTGTTGGATGTTTAGGTTATTTCTAGGTCTTTGTATTTGCAAAATATGTAGGCATATCTCCCTCTATATGTTATAAACACATATGTAACATACATATATGTATCAACTGTCTCTCTCAGCCGCATGGCACAGGATTGTATTGGGAGTCAGAGGACCTGGGTCTGAGACCTCACTCCGCTGTTCCCTGTATGAACTTTGAGAAATCACTTTACCGACCTAGGCCTCAGTTTCGTCAGTGGTTAAAAATGAAAGGAAGGGGTCGGACTAGCAACTCCTAAGTTCCAGATCTGTGATCCTGTAATCTTTTGTTCTTTATAACACCCAGGGTTTACTGAAAATAATGAGACTCTTGGGTCAAAAGCGTATTTTTCTTCAAGCTTCTTAATATTGCTTGAATGATTTTGTTCTTCCCATTTATCCTTTCTCTTCAAGACATGAAAATGAATTATGGTCTTAAACTTAAAAGTAACACGTGACTGATGAGGACAGCTAATTACATAGTCATACAGTATTGCAGTGAAAGAAGACCATCTCGTTTGAAATGTTAGTAAGAAAAGAATGTAATTATACCTGCATTAGTCATACGATCCTGTTCATGACCTAGTTTGTCTTGTTTTGTTTCCTCTCCTGTCTTCTGTGTCCTGAGTTAGTAGGGAGGGAGGAGGAGGGTTAAAGTAGTTTGGTGATTTTAAATTTTAAGCAGCAGTACAGATACAATTTTATCTACTATGAAAGCGTAACTTAAAAGCTTAGAAAGGCTCATGTGCTTTTCTTCCTTCCACTGTTCATGTTCCTTATTCACAAAACTTCTGTGAAGCAGTTGGATACCTATAGGAATAACAATCTGAACTAACTTGGTGACATTAGTTGGTGTGAGTGCATCTTGTAGAAAGTGGAGGGAGAGCACGTTTCTGCTTGTTAGCTTGGGACTTTTGAGCCACAGCTCATCCTCTCTTTGGATAATTTCCTACTCTGTAAGACGAGGTGCTTACGTCAGATGGTCACAGAGGTCTTTGCTGTTGCCCCCATTGCACAGTAAGAGGGAAAAGAAGAACGACTTAGTTTGTCTCAAATGGCAGTTGGAGGAACAGGGCCAATGAATATTAAAGCCCCTCGCCTTTCAGCGTGCTCATCTGAGAATGAATGTTGTTAGCAGTTTTGTTGAATAATGTGGTTGGAACCCATTAACAGTGTTATATGAAGTAATCTTTTTGACGTTGTAACTTTAGTTATTATAGAAATTGAAAGGTCACCCAGGACATTGGGATTTCAAGTTGAGGTAGAGTCTGAGGGCCACAGGTCATCCCTGACCCCTCATAGTTGCTCTTGAACCTTGGGAAAGTCTCTTCTAACCTCTTTGGGCCTCAGCTTACTCAGTTGAAAAAAGAGGAGGTTGGACTCCTGGGCCCTGAAGCCCCTTCCAGCTCTCGAGCCAGGATCCTATGGTGGTGGTAGAGATCATAGGTAACATTTAGTGAAGTAGATTTTTATCATCATTGATGCTGCTCACTTTGAATCATGAAAAATTCTCCTTTTTATTAAGTTAGTAGTCAGTTACTCATTTGTAAGACCAAAGTTATAGCTAAAGAACAGGCAAACCTTGTTCTGAGTCATGTTTTGTCTCTAGTTTCATATAACTAATATAGTGGATTCTTTCAGGGTAAATAATTTTTCCGTTTTTTAGAGTAATAGTTTCAAGAATATGAAACCCGCATACTGATTCTGTCATGTTTTTATGCTCTTAGCATGTGTAAACAGAAGGGAACCACATGCTTAATCAGACCTTTATCATGTATATGTCTATGTAGTTTTCTTAGAAATGTGAGATAATTTTTTAAGTACATATTTAACTATTTGGGGAAATATTTAATATATTAACATATAATTATGTAATAAGTAGAATGGATTTTTGTGAGATCTTCTTTGAAGATTCAATTTATCATCCTCATTATTTAATAATGGATCTGTTTAAGGGAATTAAACTATAAATTGGGCAATGTCTTGATGCCTGAAGAATTTTTTTGAGAGGATATATAATGTTTAACTGGCTTAATAACTCTCTTTAAGGTTTGTAAAGTTCTTTCATTCCATCAATACTAAATAGAAATTATGAATACGTTTTATTGACATATCAAAGATCAGTGCCTACCATTTTCCTACATAAAATAAATGCTGAGAAAAGAGAGGTTTTGTTTGGCTTGATAGAGAATAGGGAGTTAACATATGATATAGTGTAAAGAGTACCAGCTTTGGAATTAGAAGCCTTGAGTTCATGTACTGGTTGTGGTGCTTATTAAAAAACAAGCGTGACCTTAAACAAAGTCATTTAACCCCATTTAACAAAGTCTGTTACTTCAACTGTAAAATAAGGGTTTGAATTAGATGATGTCTAAGGTGTGCTCCATCTGTGAATGTGTTATCTGTGGAGGCTTTTCAGCCAGGCAAACATTATGCTTCCCATTTATAGGTGAGACAGAATGGTCTAGGGTCATGTAGCTAGGAAGTGGTGGAGCCTTTCTAACTTGGAGGTCCAGTGTCCTCCCTATTATTCTGCCTTACCTTCCAGCGTTAGAATAGAATGAAAGAGTTTTTGAGCTAGAAGGGACCCTAAAGATCATATAGCCCAGCCCCTTCAGCTCCAGAAGGCTTAAGTAACAATATTCAAGTCATAAAGTTAAGTAAAAGCGGAGCTAGGGCTGAACTTTAGGTCTCCTGACTCCCAATTTGATAGATTTGAGGAGATGGCCTTTTGTGCTGTCCTTAAGGATAGAGTGAATGTACAGGGTCTTTCCTATAAGTCCCTCTAATCTTACCTGAATATGTGCTGTTAATGAAGCATAACTTTTATATACATGCTGGATCTGTGACCCAGAGCTGGGTAGTAGGTGACAAAGCTGCCACTTGGCAGTCATCCTTTATGTGCCCCAGGATGGGTCTAGGTCAGGACCTCCTCCTGTCCTGGTGTCCAGCTTCTCCCTGAAGTGCTTTGCTGGCCAGACCCTGTCATCTCTTGTGTCCACAGACCTGGTCTTTCAGATCCTCCATTGACCTCTTTTTATGTCTTTAAAACCTCTGCTGAGTATCAGATTCTTTTTCAGTATTTCAGAAGGTCTGTGAGAGAGGGATACTAAGTCCATTCCTGTGACTTCATTGGAGTAGGTTCAGCACAGTTCTGACTATCTGTTGGGAGACACTCGTCGCACCTTCTCATACACAGTCCATTGTTGGGCACGGACTCGAAGCTTTTCCAGTTGGCTGTAGGACTTGGGGGAGTTCCCTGCTAACATAACCTTTGAGAGCCCAGAGCTTACCTTTGTGCCGTGATGAAAGAGCAGAGTACCCGCATATGGAATACATATGAAACGATTTCGTATTCAAGAGTTCTGAATTACTGTTCTGCACTTGTGGAAGGGGGCGGGGGTTCTTTTAACTTGCAAGTGTATAGTATAACTTCAGCTAAGGTATAGGTTAAGCTTCTGTGTTCTAGCGTTGGAATATAATTGCCATTTATACTGATGTTTCTATGGGAAAAGGCTTTTCTGAGTTCCAGCCAAAACTTGTAGAATGACTTTTTCTCGGCTTAGGGACTTCTGATATTTTCTGTGTAGCTTCTGACTGATCATGGCATTAGATGGCAGGTCCCATTGTTGAGACTCGAATCGAAATGTGTAGTCTGAAACTGAACGCTGTGGTTTTATAATGGTAACTGTATTAATGCAGATTTCTAAGAAACAAAAAGGAAGTTTTCCTTCTTTTTGTTTCCTTTTGGCAGTTTACTATATTTGTTTAGGAAAAAAAAAACTCAACCCCCCCCCCCAAAAAAAGGCCTTACTCATGGAGCCTTTTAGTATCCGAGTGATCTAATCTAACTCCTAAATCATTCATGACTAATGATGCGTGGACATCCTCTAGAATTTTGTTTTGTACCTCTCTGGTTCATTTTAATGAGTGTCGAGTATTAAATCTGAGGTTTTAAACTCAATGAGAGCTGACAGATTCTTTTATCTAAATTTTGTTTCTCTTTTAGTGACTGAATTGGATAGAGTTTAATTCTTCCCAGGGTCTGTTGTAACATCAGAGCCCCGTTAGCAGCCCACTTTTGGAGGATTAACATAGAACGATAGAATTTCAGAGTAGAAAGGGAACGTTCAAGTCCTCTCCT